CTTTTAAGCTACCCTGCTCATGCCTATGATATCATTCATGCAACATAGAAATTCCTCCAATTTTTTCTGGAAATAATATTTGCGATTTCGAAGAAGCTAAAAATGCAAGTACAGCTCCTAACTATAGGTACAACCTTACCTTATTATATCGAGGTGTTCGCAAGAAATTAACACCACGATACGGAGGCAGGTCTACCTCAGGACGGTAAAGTCTTTCCAATTCCGACAGTTCTTTTTGATGCGGGCCATTCTCCATAGCGCGTTCATCACGAATCATCCTGAAATCAATCGCTGCCTGCATCGCTCTCAAATATCGATGTTTGCATTTGAAACCAAAATTTGCATTTTTATGTCGAAATTTGCATTATTTGAATTCGTTGCCGTAGAAATATTAATAAGGCCAAGGGCAGCTGAAGATGCAAGTCAGGAGCACATTAATGGGAGGCCGTGACCGGCCCCCCAATTTATCAGTTTTGACGTTGAATAATTAATCTAACTCAATGTGTTATGGTAAAAACAAAATTGCACTAACACAAATTTTCCGCGAGCTTCACAAGCTAAATGAGTTAGCATGCCTAGGTTAAAAAAATGAGTTACTGTTGAAAGGCAATAGTTAACTAACAAAACGAAATTGAAACAATAAGCAATTAAATTGTACATTTTAAAAAAAAAAAAAGAGGATAAATCACAAAAATGACTCTCATAAAATTAGTTATCAAAAGAAAAATGGCTGAAAAAAGAATAGAAACATAATAAACTGCTAGTAGTGGTAATAAAGAGAAAGTTGTCCCAAGAGATTTCTGCCATTAAAATTGCAACTTTAATTGTAAATGGAGGAAAGGAGCAAGGGGACAAACAGTTAGATAGTGGAGCTAAGGTCTTGTGACAATAAGCCAGTTGACATGAGTGAGTCATATTGTTCGAAGAAACACTCGCAAAACCATTCTGTCTGGTTCATCCCCTAGCTGAAAATACAGACAGCAGTCTGCTGTGGATAGGATGAGAATCGTCAGTACAGTTCGCTATCCACCACTTATTAAAGTGCATGTAAAACAGCTGAAGAAGGGGGAAAGGATGACTGTGTGATAACGTGAAATGCAAAATCGTGTAGGAAGCCTGACGTTTAGGCAATAAGGACAAAACAACCCAAAGATGCAACTCTACCTGGATCACTTAACAGAATCTACATATGCTTAACCACCACATACTACATATAAATAAAGAGAAACAATTCCTCTACTAAACTGAAAGTATACAGCATACACGAAGAGAATACGAAATATTATCCCTGGTTTTGTAGCATGTGGGGTCACGCTGCGATACACATAGCAGGTTTGTCCTCCAACCTTTTTCCTCCTCTCTCCTTCCCACATCCTCCCCTTGCGCACATCCAGACCCTTCCTACAATGTATCATACACAATGAACCCTGTGACACCTCCTACCTCCTCCCTCCGCTACTTCGCTCTGACCTTCAGCACTCCGATGACCTCTAGATGTGCTTATTATTATTCACTGTAATGTATCTACGCCGGCCAGTGGTATACAAGACTGTTAGGTCTTAACATATCAGTGCGCGTAATCAAAGCTGTTTCCTCAGAAGCTACAAATTATCTCACATGTGAGATTGAATTCAAAACACATTTATTACCGAACAAAGCTCGGTAAATTCTCGACAGTAATAAGACGTTCAACAAAAACCTGGACCAACTCTACTTATATTACCGTTATTCCCGATCTAAATTTGGAGAGGAAGAAGTGGCACTCGACA